ATCACTTTCAGCCCTTCAGATGTGTTCCCAAATGCAGCAAAGACAGATATTTGATAAATATATACGTTTATCTTTCCAAAAGTTTATAGTATGTGCAACAGTCTACTGGTAGCATTTGAGAAATAGTTTTTTTTCCTACTAGAATGCTGCAGATGTGCTTTCACAAAAGTCTTTTAGAGCTTATTATTAAGTTGATCCCACATCACTTAAAGAGAATCATGGAATGATAGATACATCTTACAGCATGAAACTACTGTGCCACAAAAACTGGGAAAACAAAGTGTGATGCTGAATCAATATACTAACACAGAAAACATATGTTGAGATGCAGCAATTCCAATGTCGTTGTTTAAATTAGCGACTAAGCAGAAGCTATCTTATTACCATAGGTACTCCTTTGGGAAACTACTGAAACATTCAACTACTTAATGCATTAGCATCTAGCCATCAATTCTGCAGCTGGTACTGTTAATATAACAGCAAACTGCCCAAATTTATAACACCCTATGGCACAACTTAGAGATGTGCAGCCCTTTTTTGAGAATAACAACATTGAGGGAAGCACAGCCTTCATGACTAACTCACTTTGGATGTATGAAACATTGGACTGTATCCTTTTCATGCCAGCATGTGAAGATATGCTAGTGTACACGGGTGAGGCATTATGGCAACAAGGAATTGCATTCTGCAATTGTGCAGTCGGCCCTATGCCTCTGCATGACTGATTGACCAATGCACCAGTGGAAGTGATTCAGAGGTAGCACTTGTGCCTTGACATTCATGCAACTATCACTGACACAACTAGAAATGGCCACAACTTAAGTTGTGTTTCTTCGTAGGCAGATCTCCATGCAACACCACAGATGCTGCATGTTCTCCCACACACACCTCCCAAACAGCTGCCCCACTCACAAGCCTCTGCACACAGCCCAGGTCATCCTCCATCACCAACTGCCCAGTACAGGAAAGAGCTCAGGCTTCCCTTCCTGCCTTCTCTGGCAGCTAACCATTCAACAGCTGCACAAAGAGAATCCTTGTCCCACCTCCTTGTCTGAGTGGTTGGCTGCCAGAGGAGGCGGAGAAGGGAAGTCCAAGCTCCTAACTTGACTGGGCAGCTGGCGACAGAACAACCTGGGTTGCGCACAGAGGCTTGTGAATGGGACAGCTGTCTGGGAGGTGGGAGAAGGAATGTATGATGCTGCACAGAAATCTTTGTACAAAGAGGCACAACTTAAGTTGTGCCCATCTCTGGATGCAACAGATTGTGCATTTGTAGTTGTGTAATAGGATGAGTTATAATAAATATAATTGCATTAGTGAGCTCTTTACACAACCAGCATAATTTTTCTAAAAGAGGAATGACTGTCGAAGCCATAGGATAGTGGTTCCCAACTTTCTGGACACAACTCCCAAAAGTCCTGGCCAGCACAGCTAGCGGTGAAGGCTTCTGGGAGTTTCAGTCCAAGAATATTTGGAGCACCAAGATTGGGAATCACTGCCACAGGTGATGGAGCTGGGATTCTTGGTGAAAGTGTAGTTCAATTTCTTCAACTAGAATCCATATTTGAAGTTCCTTTCAACAGCCACAATGAAACCAGTGGCTTTTCAGTGGTTAAAGTGTCCTCTCCTCATTTCTGATATTTGACTGGGTCACTTTATTCTTTTGCAGACATACTGCCTTAAAGGCAAAATGGCTTGCTAGCAAGTGATGGAATACCTGATGAAGTCCACAGAAAATTATGCCAAAATATATTCCCCTTTAAGGTGCCACAAGACTTACTTTTGCAGCAACAAATTATCATAGCTACTTCTCTGAAAATTCTGGTACAATAAAAGACATGTCCTCTATTTTTTACTCTCTGAACCACAAAAAACATGCTGGAAAAGGAAAGGCTGTATATAACAGCCCTATGCCCAAATTTGCTTCTCCTTGGGCAAAAAAGGGCACTTTGAACTCATGATGTTTATTTTGAAGCAAGCCTAACCAAAGTAACCAGGTACAGAGAGTGAGGGCAGTATATGGAAAGCATACTGAGTTCTCCCTTAAAGAGTGAGTCAAACAGAGTAAAAGTCAATTACCAGATATTAATTTTTGTTAACCACTTATAACCACTTGTAATTTAAAACTTCTAATGTAGAATTGATGCACTCTACTGTAGGGTCTAGTATCTTCTCAGATATCATTTGATAAATACCAAATTCTAAGATCATCCAATAGATACTAGAGATATAATTGTTGTCTCCTGCATATGCCACAATAAACCATGTTCTGTATTATCATCTCTGTAACAGTAAACCATGCTCTGTAACACTATAGCCTGTATGTTAGACAAACGTCTGATACAAAAGGTCTTAAAAGGGTGGCCTTTGCAAATCACTGCTAAAGCAGGTCAGGATTGCCCAGTAAGATTTAGTCCTTTGCTGTATCAGTCATAAAAAACCCAATCTACACCTGAGATCAAGAAAAAAATGATAATAACAAATACCTATATTAGAATATGCAATCATTAAGTCCATATGAACAAAATATCCATTTTGAAGGATTCAAGATTTCAACTTGTCAGGTTATATCACTTCATAATGCATGTTTCCAACAAACAGGCTCTTAAATATTCCTTTCTTTAGAAAACAGTGCAACAGCTTAACAAGGACAGGATAACATATGATGTGGTGCCACAAACAAATCCGATGCCACATTACCTCTAGTGTCATACATCAATACATGACATCAACAGATGTCATTTATTTTCAAGATGTCATCTAACTCACCTTACTTGGTGCAAGAAAAAAAGTATATATGAGAAATTTAGCCACAGAAATAAATCAGCAACCAAATACATTTTTAATTATTTTTATTACAGTAATTTACTTCTGTGCCCTACATTTCTCAGCCATCTAAAATTCTCATAAAGCAACAACAGAAAATTGCATCAACACACCTAAGTACTGTGTCCCTCAGATAAAATATTATTTTTTGAAATGTTTAACACTAGAAGGCCTTCTTAAGATTGGATATATTAGAAATTAGCAAAGTAATTAACACTGACAAGAAGTTCTGTTACTAGGATTCCAAACATAAGAATTATTTTCAAAATCTGGCTCAAATATAAACTCCAGTAACCAAAGCTAATAACAGAACTAAAGTAAATAATGGAGCTAACCAGTTTAGTAACATTACTGTATATTATTGCTTTCCATCTCTGGCTTAACATGTATATGTAATTATATTGTTGCACATAATCGTGAGCTTATAATTCAGGGCCCTCAAGCACAGTTGAGAGGACAAGCACAGTTGAGACAACTTGATAGCACAGGTTATCTTTTCGCTTCCAGTTTTAAGCAACAACGGGGGTGGGGGAGAGAATACAGAATGCAACTGTAAATCTCTGGCCATGTTTTGCACTTACTCTAGTAAGAAAGAGGAACTTGCATCTAAATGAAAAACAGAAAACAATATTTTACTATAATAATTGTAATTCATGGGCAACTTAATCTATTTAACGATTCTCATCAGGAAAAAAACATTCATTAGAGTTGCTTCGGGTTCATAAACTGACCTCCAAATGAACAGAAACCAAAATACTAGGCACTTACTTTGGATATACAAGAGGTAATAAAACTTATTAAGCTATCATACTTTGGACATACCATGAGAAAACAAGGCTCAACAGAAAATACAACTGTGGCAGAAAAAGTAGAAAGCAGAACGGAAAACAGAAAGCCCTAACATGAAACAAATTGACTCAAGGGAAACCATAACCATTCGTTTGCAAAACCTATCAAGGTTGTTAATGACAGCACTTTCTGAATGTCATTAATCCAAAGCGTCTCAGAAATCAGAGACAACTTGATAGCACAGAACAACCAAGCAGCTTTTGGATAAAAAAAATCTAGTTGGCATGCAGCCTTAAAAAGCAGCAGCAGCATCATAGACAGGAATGCACAAAGATAACAACTGGGAGCATTCACCATGGCTTTCTGATTTAACTAGCCAGTCCATTTGCCAAATGACAGTCTAAGCACCAAAATGGAAGTAAAACAGCATTCTGCTTAAGAAAAAAACAATACAGCAGTATGACCTCTGAATTGGCTTAAGCCAAAAATGTATAAATAACAGATACCTGGACCACTTTTAAAAGCAAGAAAATCATTTCAGTGTTTTACCTGATACTGAATTCCTTTTATCTCCCCTCTCCCTAATTCTCTAAAATATCTTGGCTTAATTTCCATTCCCCCTCTCCATTTACCAAGCATAAATGCAATGCTGAGGCTTTTTCTGCACTGTGTTGGTCATGTCATCTGTACTATTTATACCTGGGGTGAAGAGTAATGTCCAGAAGATGTTCCAAAAAGATAGTGGCCTAAATTCAGTTGCAGTAGTTCTCAACTTGGAAGAGACCCACTCAACCAATGAATGTTACCATTCAGCCATCAATTCAATGGATCTACTCTAGCTAGGAGTCGTAAATGCATTTAGGCCAAAGGCTCCAACCCTACGCAGACTGCCATTACTGTGAACACCGCTGGACTTGATTTCAGAGAACTGCACAAAAAAACTGAATAAGTAAGGCAGTTTTCTTAAACGAGTGCGGAAAGATCCTGCTCAATAACGCATCAGGTGAGGGGCTGCCGCGGATTGCACAGATCCAAGTTCAAGTTTCCATACAGTCGTGACACCTTTTCAAGCTAAGCCCTCAATTCATTCACGGAAAGGTCCGTGAGGGCTGAAAACGGCACCGAACAGCCGGACAGGAAAAAAAAGACCACCACCATCCGACGAGAGGCGGCGTGCGGACCCAACTCAGCCCCTCCGAGGCCGCTGAAAAGTTTTGCCCGGTGCCAGATTCCGTGGCACGTTAAAACTCTTGCGAAGTCACCAAGAGATACGACCCACACGTACATGTGAAACTGACCTTTTCTACCGCGGCGTGGGGGCGGGGGAGAGGGAGGAGAGAGGAGAGCTTGCCCAAGAGAAGAAGAACATAACGGAAGCCGCTCACCTCCGCCTCGCTCGTTCGCCTGCCTTCCCCGGTGGGGCCTTTTGTCTCGAAGGCGACGGCCCCGGCGCTGCCTCGGCCAACCTCCGCGGCCGCTTCCCAAGGCAGGCCCGAGATGCTGCCCGCAGCGGTGCCGCCGCCGCCGCCACTCTCCCGCCAACCAGGTCCCCCTGGCGGTCGAGGAGGAGGCGCCGCCGCCAGCTCGGAACCAGACGAGGAAGGAGCCCCGCGTCCGTCCCCCCCTTTCAGCTCAGCCAAGAGGAGCCCATTTCCATTCGCCGGGAAAGGAAGGGGAAGCGCGGGCGGGGGGGCTCAAAGGCTGCCGCCGCCGCGACGGCTTGAGGCGGCGGCTCTTGCTTCGCGGTCACAAACGCATGAAAATCTTCCGAGCCCGAGGAATGAGGAACCAACGAGGTCGGACGCTTCCCCTCCAGCTGCAGCCGCCTCAGAAACGACACGGCACCCCCGCTCCGAAGCCGCCCTCAACGCCACAGCCTCCTCAGTATCCCTCGCCCAGGCCCCGATCCCGCTGCGGCTGCGTTCAGCACCGCGCCTCCTCTCCACAGCCAGCGGCGACTTCCTTCACTCGGGAGGGGAAGATGAGGAGGAGGAGGCGGCGGCGGCAGTGATGTTAAGAGTCCCACCTCATAAGCGCGCTCCCGAGCTCCGGGACGCAGCCTCATTGCCGACCTTAGCGCGCGCGCGCGCACATCAACACACCCAACCCACTCCCGCCAGTATTATTAACCCACTCCGCCCACTCCGGTAGGGGGAGGGCCCTACTCCACGCCCACAGGTGACCCGGATGTCTCAGTCACGTGCCCCAACTTGCCTTGGCTTTCCATCAAAAAAAAGATTGACAGCAAGGAAGTGGGAGGGGTTGTAGGTGTGTGTGTGAAAGGGCGTGGTCTAGCTCTGCACGTGCTTCCGTCGCGGTGCTTTCGAGCAAAACTGAAATAAACAGAAGAAGGTCTGTGGGCACAAAAAAAATTGTATCTTGTGTTTTGTTACAGTTGTAGAAGGGGTAGCCGTGCAAGCATTAAAGGTAAAAGCAAAAGAAAAAAAGAAAGTGAAAAAAGACAAAAGCCTGGTGGCACTTTAAAGACCAACGTTTATATATTTTTTTTAATGTGGGCTTTCGTAGATAACCTCACTTCATCAGGATTGTACCCGTGTGAAGAATTTATAGTCCAAAATTAAAAGTCCAAAAGTACATGACAAGATGGGTTTTTGCCATGTACTTTTTTTTAGTCTTTTGGACTTTTTAAGTTCTTCACACAGGTACAATCCTGATGAAGGGGTGTTTAGTCCATGAATGTTTATTTATTGTATGATGATTTTTAGTGGTCTTACTAAAGATGGTGCCTATTTTTGCATTTGGATTTTATTTTGTTATGGCCACACGGCTGCCCTTTATTAGATTTGTCCATGAAAGCTCACATTAAAAAATATAAAAGTTAGTCTTTAAGTTGCCACCATGTTTTTATCCATTTTTCATTTCTATTCTACTTGCAACTATATTTTTTATTGAATTCATATTGTATAATTAAAATTCTTTTGTGCTATGCGTTCAGAGAGACTCACATCCGAGTAAGTTGGCCTATGGCACTAACAGTGGTCTTTACTAATTTCTACTCTACCCATAATTTTTGCAACTTAATTTTATGTTTTATTAGACAATGGAAATAAATTGTTTATGAGGAAAAAAATAGAGGAAGCAATTTAACTTAATTTTCTTTCACCGTAAGAGGTAGCCAGGTAGAAAAGTCACATCTTTTGAAATTAATAAGGCTTAAAAACATTTACCATAAAACATCAGATATTATTTCACAGTACTGAATGGTATGTTTCCTTGTAACACATTAACGTTATCTTTAGTGTATTTAGTAAATATTATTTTCAATTTACCATCCATTAGTTTCTCCACACATTAACCACTAGTCAAGATTACGGTTTTTTTAATGGTTAACAGCTTGATGAAAATGACCAATAAAATCTAGGCTTGGATAAGTAAGGAGACTGCCAGATGTTCAGTCAAGCCAGGCTGTATTTACATCAGTAATACCCACAAATGCTCAAAATGGACAGTTCTTTGTTATGGTCTCATTACTTTAACATCTAGGGCAGGGGTGTCCAACCTTTTACCTTCCCTGGGCCACATTAGAAGATGAAAATTTTGTTTGGGCCGCACATAAATTTGGTTTGGGGTGCATGGGGGGGGCAGTCCTAGCCATCCCTATGGTCTCATTACTTTAACATCTAGGGTTTTTCCCCCTGAACCACACATTCATTTGTTTGTTTACAGCATTTATACATATCAGCCAAAAAGACTTCCAGAGTAGATTAAATCAATAGAAATAAGTGACAAATTTTCACTCTTTGTTCAAAAATATTGATAGTTTTCTTTTATGCTTTTTTGCTTTGAGCTGCAGTCCTATTTTACTGTAAATAGGACGACTTACAGTGTAGTAAGACTCAGTGAATTCTGGATAGACATATTGGATTGTACTAAAAAGTGGCTATGTGGTTTTTCCCCCTGAACCAGACATTCATTTGTTTGTTTATAGCATTTATACGTATCAGCCAAAAAGACTTCCAGAGTAGATTAAATCAATAGAAATAAGTGACAAATTTTCACTCTTTGTTCAAAAATATTGATAGTTTTCTTTTATGCTTTTTTGCTTTGAGCTGCAGTCCTATTTTACTGTAAATAGGACGACTTACAGTGTAGTAAGACTCAGTGAATTCTGGATAGACATATTGGATTGTACTAAAAAGTGGCTATGTGGTTCCACGCTTATAAGGGAAAGTATGTCATCATCAACAAGGAAAACAGAGTCCTGAAGATGGGCAGCAACTGAGTGTGCATGTGTCCTTCTAAGATTGTCACCAATTTCATTCTCTTGGCCTTGGCTTTAACAGGTGCTACATCATCCCACTAATCTCAGCTTTTCACCTGTTTCAGATCTTTCCTTCAGTCTGTTTATTTATAGCTTGTGTTGCAAACCTATGAAGCAGCATGAACACAAATGGAATAATAGTTGTTAGAGATGAGACATTGTTTTATATATGAAAGAAAAAAAATTAAATGGGCTTTTGCAGTTTCTTTTGTTGATTACCAAAAGAGAGCATTTAAATATGAATGATTCAGAAGAATGATACACAACCATTTTGTGTTTCTTTCATGTTCCATCTTCCATGTAAGTTTTCTCTTACCATCTGTGTCTCAAATTATGTGATTTTTTTTCATCCAATAATATCCCAATGGCTATTGCGAAAGCATGGCAACTTATTTTTCACCGTTACAAAGACACAGTAAGCTTTATTTCACTCTTTGTAGACCTGATAAGTTTTTCATCCAGTAGCGTTGCAAGGGCTATTGGGAAAACATGGGGCTGTCAGAAGCCAATCAGAACATGCAGGGGAATAGGTATCTGTAGAAGGGCCTGAAATTGAGTGAGGAGTACTTTCTTTGCTTTAGTCCATGGGATTGTGTTTTGGATTTTCCCCCTTTGATTTCTTTAGGAATGTCTCTTTCCTCTCTACTTGTCTTTTAAAAGTTTATCCCCTCTCTACTTTCTTGGATCATTCCTACTTCTGTCTGCCCTTGGCCTCCCTGCTGTCTGCTGGACTCGGGAAAGAAGATAAGGGGCGGGGGGAGAGAAATCTCTAACATTTTTGTAATTTTAGTTGATGTAGGCTTTGCTTACGTTTTTTGCCTGTACAGTGGTGCCTTGCTAGACAATCACTTCACAAAACAATTTATTCGCAAGACAATGAGTTTTTGAGATCACTATAGTGCTTCACAAAACAGTTTTCCTTATGGGCAATTTTCGCTGGACAGTGTTTTGGTTTGTGCTTCGCAAGATGGGGTTGATCACTTCACAAAACAGTTTATTCGCAAGACAATGAGTTTTTGACATCACTATAGTGCTTCACAAAACAGTTTTCCTTATGGGCAATTTTCGCTGGACAGTGTTTTGGTTTGTGCTTCGCAAGATGGGGTTTTTTTCGGGACCGTTTTTCGCAAGATGACGATTTTGACAGCTAGGTCCGTGACTCGCAGAACAGATTTTTTTAGGGACCGATTTTCGCAAGACAGTTATTTTAACAGCTGGTCCGTGCTTCTCAAAACGGTTTTCCTTATGGGCGATTTTCGCAAGACGACGACTATTGTTTTTTGGTTTGTGCTTCGCAAGATGGGGTTTTTTTCGGGACCGTTTTTCGCAAGATGACGATTTTGACAGCTAGGTCCGTGACTCGCAGAACAGATTTTTTTAGGGACCGATTTTCGCAAGACAGTTATTTTAACAGCTGGTCCGTGCTTCTCAAAACGGTTTTCCTTATGGGCGATTTTCGCAAGACGACGACTATTTTCCCCATTGGAACGCATTAAATGGATTTCAATGCATTCCAGTGGCGAACCACATTTTGAAAGACGATGTTTTCGCAAAACAGCAATTTTCACGGAACGAATTAACATTGTCTTGCAAGGCACCACTGTATTTGCTTGCTTGCTTTCCTTGGTTTTAGGGAGGCGGACATTTTGTGTGCTTTTTCATGTTCCTGTTTCTTCCCTGTTTGGTTTTCTTGTTGTTTAGTTTACTGTATATTTTTCTCTTATAGGTATATTGGTGGTTTTTTTATTATTTTTCTTTCTTGTGTACTGTTGGCTGACTTTGGAATAGATTGGTTCTCTGTTGCCTTCCATTTGCTTGCTGAAGCAGTTTTTAAGTGATTCTTGGAGCTTTTGAAGTTACACAAACATGAATGACAAATCTTAAATAAAAGAATCCCAAAGAAGTTTGAAAATGAAAGAGTTGCCCCCCAGTAAGAACCCAGAAAAAAAATTAATATATACATTTTGTCATGCACATCTCTACAAATTATGTAGGACACACACACACACGTATGTGTGTGTGTGCGCTACTGAATTCTACTTATGGCATTTGTATGGATTGTTGTTACTGCCATCAAGTCGCCTTTGACGTGGACAACCCTATGAATGAGCACTTTAAAATGTCTTCAGTAGCCTTGTAAACTCATTCCTGTGGCTTCCTTTCGGAAGTCAAACCATCTCATGTTTGGCCTTCCCCCTTTCTTGCTGCTGTCAACTTTTCTCAGCATTGTTTTTTTTTCCAGTGAAACTTGCCTTTACTTGATGTGCCCAAAGTATGACAGCCTTGGTTTTGTCATTTCTTGCCTCCAGATATAGTTCAGGCTTGATTTGATCGAGGACCCATTTGTTTATCTTTCTAGCAGTCCAGGGTATCTGCAAAGCTCTCCTCCGGCACCATATCTCAAATGAATCAATTTTCTTCCTATCAACTTTTGATAGGAAAGAATCACTGCTGAAACTTTCTTACCTTGAAAACCTGTGATGAGACACTTCAAAATGAACCCATAGCAGTTTGATCTGCAAAAAAATCCTGTAAGTAACAATAGTATTCAGGTCTTGTAAAACTGAAGGCTATAGATTCCTTTATTGACTCGATCCGTTTCATTTTAGGTCTTCTTCTTTTATCTACTACAGCCTTCCACTTTTTCCCAGCTTCATTTTCTTTTTCAGCAAGTCTTGTCTTCTCATAGTCTGTCCAAAGTAAAATGGCCTCAGTGTAATCATTTTTACTTGTAGAGGGAATTTAGGCTGAATTTGTTCTAATGCCCATAGTCCATGCTGTGTGTCAAACACACATTCTGAATCAAACATTTTTTTAATTTTATATATATTTTATTTTTTGTAAACAGCTTTCTTCACTATCCATCTTTCACATTCTATATAATAACAAAGAGTATCACAGTATGGATTATTTTGGTCTTTTCTAAACCCTAATCTTTAATATGGGCTCCATATAATATTGTTATATTTACTTCCTGATGCACATGCTACGTTTACTTGTTCCTCTTTTCTCAACCCTTATCTCTTTTTCTTGTGTTCTGTTCAGTATGAGCCACTTTGACTGTTCTCATGC